CACACGGATTTAGACAAAAACAAAAACTTTCACTCAAAAACTGCCCTTAATGACAACTGTAAGTAAAACAGAACTAGTTCATTTCAGACGGTTTACAGTCGTCCAAACTTATTCCTCACTCCTCACTTCTAATTATTTCCTGCAATAAGTTTCTTAGCGCGTTTCACAGCTTTCAGAGGCCAGAGCGGTGTTTTGTTTTAATGTTAAGAACAACTAGCATGTTAACAGCGCACTGGCAATACTTTCTGGTTTCTGAAGGATAAAGCGCTGCATAATTAGATGCAGACAGCACACAGCATTATTATTTTGACCGTAAGGGTGATCAGACGTCCCTATTTGCTCGGACAGTCCCAGTTTTGAGCCTTGTGTCTCTTGTTCCTGCAGATTTATCCAAAAACCAGCGATTTGTCCCAGTTTTATACAAGAAATGTCCCAGGTGTCCCTATTTTTCACCAATCTGATCCCTGCCGACAGTAAAGAGAGGCATACATTGTCATTTGTTTAGGTAAAATACAGAAAAGCTGCTTAAAAATGACCAAAACACAAAGAAAATGCGACTATATTGACTCACATTACGTCCAAGTACATAACAATTTTCCTTATTTACGCACTTGTTTCACAATTTTATTATTACCAACCAACCCAAACCAAGGATGGGAAAATTTGGCCACCATAGACAAAACAAATTTCATGTTATTACATAAAAGAACCTGGGGGAAAAAGTAAAAACAAACTCTATAATATGGACGCCGTGTTGGCCCATTACAAAAGCTTTGGCACTATATACACCAATGTTTTCTGAATTCTATAGTCTGCGTGTTTATCGTCTCAATAAATCCTTAATAAACACTTGTCAAATTTCAAAACGTCAAAACCCACAGACGATCTCTCAAAATCTAAGAAATCGACCCCCTCCGAGACTCGCCACGGGAGTTTCACATCGCTGAGGAGACAGACTGACAGATAAAACAAAATTACGACTCTGCCAAGTTAGCGACGCCATTTGAAGTGTCTCCATCTTGGTTTGTTTTGCTGTTTTCTTCATTTGCCCCATAAACTAAGGAAGGATAAGGGGGTTCACGCATTAATATTGAAAAGAATAGTGACAACCAACCCACTACAAAACAGCAAGAAGTGTTATATTTTTAGGTCAACTGTAAAGATGACATGTGATGAGAGAAAAAAAAAGAAAAAATCAAACCTATTTCAACATTGTTTCCTCTTGAGTAACATTATGACCCACTTCTTTCCTTTTTATGTGTATTATTTATCTTTCTGAAGCACAATAGGCTTTTCATGCGGAGAAAGGGAGCGCGCTGACAGGCAAATCCGCACCTTTTAACGCAAAATAAACAGAAATACTTCTTTATTTGTTAATGATCAAGTTGTTTACTGTGTTTATTTGATGGTATTGCGCGCTGACATGTTGTTGACGTTGTGGGTTTTTCTGAAGTTATTTCAACATTCATTATCGGGACGGGGCTCTGTCTGCACGTGTGAGGGAGGGAGAGAGAGAAAGTACATGTCAAACTATGGCGTTTCATCTGTGGCTTAAAAAGACACTCCTGCCTGCTCCTCTCTGACAGCTGTATTCATAGGCGCACACATATACAGAGGGAGAAATGAGGTGACGGCAATTCCAAATGCTTTTTATAGAGCTATACACACGTTTGGGCATGTAATAGTGCTATATATAGTAAGATACGTATGTCTACTATGGGCATGAAGGTACATCCTGCCCTTTTGACAAGGTCCAGACCGACATAAGGCTGAGGGAGGTAACAATACCACACTAAACAATCCGGGTATCATTCGTTCATTCATTTTTCAAAATAAAACTGCACGCCGGACTTTTGTGCTGCATACGGACTAAACCAGGACTAAAACAGGTCTAAACTAGGGCTAAATTGGTCTCAGTCCTGGTCTCAGTCCTGGTCTCAGTCCTGATCTCAATCCTAAACCAGGACTAAACTACAACTGAACCAGGAGTGTCAGGATGGGTCAGAAGGTGCGCCCATGTAGACTCAGGTGGTCAGGAAACCGGGATCAGATCAGGACCAGACCAGGACTGAGACCGGTTTAAACCTGGTTTAGTCCTGTTTAGTACCGTTTTAGTCCTGGTTTAGTCCTGTTTTAGTTCTGTTTTAGTCCTGGTTTAGTCCTGTTTTAGTACTGTTTTAGTCCTGGTTTAGTCCTGTTTAGTCCTGGTTTTAGTCCTGTTTTAGTCCTGTTTTAGTCCTGGTTTAGTCCTGTTTTAGTCCTGTTTTAGTCCCAGTTTAATCCTGGTTTAGTCCTGTTTTAGTCCTGGTTTAGTCTTGTTTTGGTCCCGTTTTAGTCCCGATTTAGTCTTGGTTTAGTCCTGTTTCAGTTCTGTTTTAGTCCTGGTTCAGTCCGGCATTATTTAAGTCAAGGAAACAGGAAACAGCCGTTATCTGTTTTTTTCCATTATTCATTTAAACACAAAATAGAAAACTGAAAAAATGAATTGTGATATCGTTCTTTTAATTTTTTTTTTCATTTTGGTTTTGGACACAAATAATGAAGAAAAAAGTTGTTTTTTTTGTTTTCTTATTTTTGGTTTTATTTTGAAAAAGGAATGAACGAATAACACACGAATTGTAAACAATTATTACACATACTACAATTTACAGTAGTACCTCGTAGTAGCAGTACCTCCAGGTGTTGTACATGATTTTTACTATCCTAAAAACAGAACTTCTTTATTTTAAAAGGTTTGCAGTGGTGCTAATGCATTTCTAGCATCCTAATTATTACCCTCAATGAGTTTATAAGCACTTTTTAACAACAATTAACATCCTAACAGCACACTTCTAGCTCAACTACATGGACCGATATCATGTACATGCACTTAGAGTACAATTTAAATGCACTGTTACTATAACAACGTATGACATGTAACACTGGGAACCTTGAATGTCAATGTCAAAACCACCCATAGACCCTATGTATGGGTGGACATAACTAACGCACTAGCCGCCGCATGCCAAAGAGGAAATGCGCCAGGACTTTTCCGGCTCCTACTGACCCTGGCTCCATTTGACTTATATTGGAATCTTGTCACCCCTCTTCCGGTCATCATTTTGGTCTTAAAATGTTCGTATTATCCCGCGACACATGATCCTGAATTTTTTTTACGCTATCTTGTCCGTCAAAAAAAATCCTATTCATAACGTAGAGCCTAGCTCCAGTTTCGCTCCTGTAACCGTTTGAGTATCGCTGAACACTATGGGTGACGTCACACTCGCTTAGTCCACTTCTTTTATGCAGTCTATGAAACCACAAAACCTTCAAACCTAAACTTACAATGTAATTACCTATCATTATGGTTTGTTATGTTGTTTTTTTGAGGAATCATGGGTAGTGTAAAGTAAATTCTAACTTAAAAGGGTTAAAAATGAAGCAAACATGATATCAAAGCAATTAATTTAATCTTCCCATGCCTTTGATGGATAAAACGCTCCAACGTGTCTGATTGTTGATGAAGGGTTTGCCTGGCTCTGCTCCATTAATGTCTTTGTATATCAAAACAGGACCTTCAAGCCATCTCCTCACAAGTATTTACAAAAAACTCACAGTGATACGATGCTGCCGTAGTTGGATTGGAAAAAGCCATAACTCTTCCCTTCTCCCTAGTGAGAGCAGTGTAGCCCCGTGGTCTGGTGGTGCAGTGGAGGAGATAAAATCTGAATGATTTAGTGTATGTAAAAGATTAGACTCCGCATGGAGTGTACTGGGAGCCTTCTGATGAATTCATGTGTTGATCAGTGAGTGTCTGTGTGTCAGGCAGATGAATCATTGATGCTGTGTGCTGTACGCTTGTGTAAGCTCGCCTTGTCAATCACTGCTGTCTGACAGAGAGCGAGTCCGTGTGAGTGGCCCTGAACCATCACACTTATACTTATGTACACTCTTTATTTATTCACATAGTAGACCAGCATGGAGCAGTGGGGAACTTCAAGGTTAACTGCACACAATAATAGAGACAAAGACAAGCCCTGATTGTTTTACATTTGGGGTTCTGTCAGAAACTTAGAGAGAGAAGAAAAAATTACAAAAGTGCATCAAATAGACATGGACATTTTCACTAGTTAGCAACTTTTTAACAATAGAAACACTTTCAAATAACCAAGAGAAATATCTTACCCATATGTATGATTACAAAACATTTAACGATGCAGTATGTAGGTTTGCGCTTCAGAATAGCCAGTATGTTTTACGGTGATCAATTGAAGTCACTTACAATGATAACATTTTTGACATTTTTGTGAATGTGGTTGTACCATAAACTGTAGTAGCCCAAGAAGTAAAGCGAAGAGTCATGACACGGGAAACCTTCAAGACACTGATAGTATTGTCCATTCCATCCTAGCACAGTACAATAATGCTTCTGCTTTAGCGAGAACCATACCGCTGTGCAATTTTTCTCACAGTTGTAATTATTAGAAATTTTGCAATATTACTCTTGATTTAGTTTGTTAGGTGCAAGTTGAGCTTGAATTAATAAAAGTTTTATTGTGGTTCATCTAAATAGTAAAACATTACGATGGAAGAGAGATTATAGATTTAGATCTTAGTTTAGATAACCAAACAGATTTCATAATAGTGCTATTGTTTAACAGTAACAATACTATCAGCAAATCTTTGGGTGGAAGGATTTTGTTTCACACTAATGTTTACAGATTCTCAGGTGACACTTCCTGAGTTTTCATTCATCAGTGTACGGTCCTTAATATTACCACTATTAGCATTGTTAGCTCTGTCTCTTCTTAACCATTACATGTAAGAAACAAGATATTCCCTTTCAGCTGATAGCATCCCGTCTGCTTTGTAAGTCAGTGTCTACTTCCCCCTTTGAAGTGACACGCCCTTCTCCTTTCTGCCCCGACCTTGTTTGAATAATGCTGTTACACTGATGTGATGTGAGGAACTTTGAAAGCAACGTCTCATCTGTTTTTTTGTTTTTTTTCTGTACCTTTCAGAGCCCCCCCTGCCCATCGCCCCTCCTCAGCTCCTGGGAGTCGGCCCCACCTACCTCCTCATTCAGCTCAACGCCAACTCTATATTCGGAGATGGGCCTATTATACTCAAAGAAGTGAGTGTTTAATTCAATAAGAGTGAATGGTGAGTAACTGTGGGGTGTAACAATGTCCAAAATGGCGCAGGTGGAGTATCGGATGACTTCGGGGACCTGGACAGAGACCCACGCCGTGAACTCGCCCAATTATAAACTCTGGCACCTCGATCCAGACACCGAGTATGAGATCAGGGTGCTGCTCACTCGGCCCGGAGAAGGAGGCACGGGGAAAGCAGGACCTCCGCTCATCACCAGGACTAAATGTGCAGGTTTGTCATCCATAGTTTTTCCAAAGGCTCTGAAAACAAATATCACAACACATTCCCCATAGATTAAAATTGAGCTGGAGGTCAGAATTCAGTGGTGGAATTTTCTGTTTAACTGTGAGATGGACGATTTGTTGATCTGCTTTATGGTCGATAACTTTGTAAATACCGGGCCAATCCATAAAGTTCAATATCTTGTCTTTTAGCACAAAGAGATATAAGTACATTTTTCACAATGGCTTAAGAAAGTGGTGCTGGTTGAAACATTAAACCATTTTTTGTGGACCCAACCTATACAATTAATGATAAGGTTCAAGAATTGTGAATCAGAAGTTTGGATTTCTCTTTCAAGAAACAGTGAATATGCCATTATCCATTTGAAATTATGATCAAAGTCTAGAACATATCACAAAATCATACAAAATAAATGCAGACAAGTTGAGTGAAGTTGAGATGATGGCATAAAAATACAACATTATGCCATGGCAACAGCCGCTTCTCATTTTGTGTGGAGCTGTCATATACTATTACTATTACTAAGGACCAGAGGTGGGGACTTGCAAGTCGTGATTTGGACTCGAGTCAGACTTGAGTCTCTAGACTTGATAAAATGGATGAAGACTTGGGGACTTGACTCAGACTTGAGGCCTGTGACTTGAGAAGACTTGAGAAGCACTTTTAAATCTGAATTCTTTCTATTCTGACTGTAATGATTCACACTAAGATCTTGTCAAGACATTTAAAAAAGAAAAAAAATTGCATTTCTACAACTCTTATATAAATACTGATATATAAATATACTATGATTTTTAAACTACAATTTATCTTCAAAGTCAAAAATTATATATAAATTGAAAAAATCTAAGCTATATTTGGTACTTTGATTTAAAGACTTGTAATGACTTCAAGCTCAAAGCAGACGACTTGGACTTGACTTGGATTTGCCTGTCTTTGATTTGGGACTTGACTCGGACTTGAGGTCAAAGACTTGAGACTTACTTGAGACTTGCAAAACAAAGACTTGGCCCCTCTTCTGGTAAGGACGACAAGAGTTTGTGGGTTTGACAATCTTGCTCACTAGTATTTAATGCTTTCTTCACACTTGAGTTTAATATATAGTATATTTTTAATCTTTGAGCTTGTATTGAACTGGCAAGGCACAGCTGTATCTATATGCACTACTTTTCAAATGGCCCAAGGACACTTTCAGAGCAGAAATTGTACGGTAAGTAAAAGGTAAAAAAATAAGGTTAAATATTTTTACATCAATGCGCATATTTAAAAGTCAAGGATTTGTCTTTTTCAAATCAGTGAACATTTTCTAGCTTTGTGAATCGAATGAAATGGCGAAGAAAAACCTTTACACAGGTTTACACATCCTATAAGCCCTCACTATTTTACTGATACTTCTTCCACCCCTGAGTAGACTCTGTGAACGCAGGCTTCAGTGACCCTATCACTTTTTCATCTTGTCTGGATAATATATTTTAGGCGGAGTAATATTTGTACTCTGATCCTGGAAAGTGGAGGCTGGGGAATTGAAAGAAAAAAAAAATCTCTCGGTTTGTTCACTGAGCTGAAAAACAGTTGATTAAAAAACACTATAGCCTCCCCTTACCTCTTTCTACCTTTTCGCACACACATTTCTTCTCATATCTCCCAGCTCACTCTTATGCATTGTTCATGCTGTTTCCCCCCTCCCTTTTCCCCCAAACTCTCTCTTTTTTTCTTTCGTTTCTTTCTCTGTGGATCAATAGACGCGGGGCAGAAACGCTGTCTGACATTTGTAGAAATAAACGAGTGAAATATAAACACACACGGCCTCGAGGAGAGAGAGAGAAAGAAAGAGAGGGAGAGGGAGGGAGAAAGAGTTGGTGTAGAACAATAAGAAAGCTGAAGAGGAATGGCAAGAAATAGGTCCCTTCTTGAGATGAAAACTCATAAGATTGACTGATGTGTGGCAACCTTTGTGCATCCCTGTGTGTGCATATGTGTGCGTGTGTGTTTCATTGACAGAAAGGAAGTCCGTCTTGTTCAGTGTGTCTAATAGTTTCCGGTGTAAGAGGAAGAGGAAATTAATCTCCCCGTGTCGTCCATTCATAAATACTTTGTTGTGTCTGTTGACATCAGGCCTGCAATATTGTCAATGCGATATCAGCGAATGAATGTGGAAGAGAAATTGAAGTGTTATTTAATCTTACTGAACAGACACGAGTGGTGGCAGAGTGGTTAGCTTTCACATCACAGACGAGGGTTGGGGATCTCTAACTAAATTACTATTTTCAACAATGTTTCCTACCAGTAATATCTCAAGTTAAAGCTGAAACTGGAATGTAGATGGTTTTGATGAATTTGGGTAGAATGCATAAGCGGAGGGGACATGAGGGGACCAGGACTGAACCAGGACTAAAACAGGACAAAAACAGGACTAGACCAGAAATGAACCAGGACTGAGTGTTGGGACAGACCGTCGGGCTTTGCGGACACCCTGCTCCGTGGGTTCGGGGTTCTTCCTCTCCCTCTCTCTCTCTCAAGTCCAAGATTAGTCCTGGTTTAGACTTATTTTAGACCTGGTTCGGTCCTGGTTCAGTCCTGGTTTAGTCCTGGTTCAATCCTGTTTTAGTCTTGGTTTAGTCCTGGTTCAGTCCTGGTTCATTTGGTTTACTCCTGTTCAGTCCTGATTTAGTCCTGGGTTAGTCCTGGTTTAGTCCTGGTTCAGTCCTGATTCAGTCATGGTTTAGTCCTGGTTCAATCCTGATTTAGTCATGGTTTCAGTCCTGGTTTAGTCCTGGTTTAGTCCTGATTCAGTCCTGATTCAGTCATGGTTTAGTCCTGGTTCAGTCGTGGCTTAGTCCTGGTTTAGTCCTGGTTCATTTGGTTTACTCCTGTTCAGTCCTGGTTTAGTCCTGGTTTAGTCCTGGTTTAGTCCTGATTCAGTCCTGATTCAGTCATGGTTTAGTCCTGGTTCAGTCCTGGCTTAGTCCTGGTTTAGTCCTGTTTCAGTCCTGGTTCAGATGAGGATTCATATTTATTTCATACAATCCTTTTACTTTATTGACATATTTAAAATACTACTACATTTTTTAAGCAAGTATTAGTATGGGCCATATTATAGACTCAATGTCGTGACATATTTCAGCCACTAGGGGGAGCAGTGACGCACTTGACCCCACAAACTCCGCCTATGACATAATGACATATGAATTCTACAATATTATTATTACTATAGCCCCAATTAAGGTTAACAAAAGTATCGTAAATCAGATACTATTCGATATTAAAGCAAATCAGGTCCTAGATACTCATTTGAACAAGTATCAATAGAAAAAAATCAGTTACAGGACACAAATGAACCTTTTCTGAATAGCTTTAGAATGATCTTGAGCTGTATCAGATCTATAAGACCACATATGACTGAGAAATTACACCGACATAAGACCACATGGTAATATAAAAGAAAGTACTATTATTTAATTCTACTGTATAAATAAAGAGTGTTTTTTTTAAGACTAGCCCCTCATGTGTTCACTAATCAGACAAGCATATTAAATCAAAATTTCCTCTTTAAATTGCGTTACGACACCAAACTTTAAAGAGGCCATTCATCACCGATACATAGGAAATCCTAGTGCAATAGACCCTATACATCCGCATGATGAGGCAATACAACTCCATTAAAATCCCTTTAATACTCTGTTCAGTTAAAACCATTTGTTAAGCAAATGAGGCGATCCTGGCAGTTGGTAGAGTCGCTCCTGCTGCATGCCCTATTACCATTTAGTCACTCATAACTTAGTCCAGAAAACTATTAATTTGATTTTATTCACCATTCTTATTATAATGTTGCCCAAGACATTTATTTGTTTGCATGTTTTTTGCAAAGATTCAGGGTTGTATATTATTCCTATGTGGAAGGATTCTCTGTCCATTTCTGCAAGTAATTAATGCAGTTTTAGATAGTTCTGATATCTTTCCTATTCTATTATATTGGGTAAGTGATATCTCCCCTGCCCTCCTGTGTCTACAGCCACACAAACAGTTTGCAGAAGGACAGAGAAAGACACACAGAGTAGGGAGGAAATGTTATTTAAATGGTAATGATTCCTTTGCCTTTTCTGTTTACCCAGATTTGTCTCCTCCTGCCACCTGTAGTTTTGAGCGGGAATATTTAGCCCGGTGTAATGATGACATGCAAATGCACAGACACTCGGCGGTGTGTGCACAGCGAAGGAGCAGGGACAGAGCCAGGCCTGTGACCACACACATCACAGCTTCATTAAAAACCAATACAGCTAATAAAAGACTGAGGAGGCATAACACACTGTGCAGTTAGTGGTGATAGGGCTCATTTACAACCACGAGGATTTCAACTGTTAGAAAAGAATCATTTTGACAGAATAGGAAATAAACAACTACTTAGATTACAGTACTTTTTATAGTTAAAGTATTTGTTACAGTTGAGGAGTTTGAAAATGGCAGGAACATGATCACTAGTATTGAACCACTGGCCTGATTCATCAGCCGGTTTCACTTCGTGGAAACCATCTGACCTCGCAGCATTAGGATTCGTTCGCTCGATGGTAGGCGGGTACTTTTTTTTATTTAACCAATCGCTGCTATTTGGTCGTGACGTATGTAAACGGAACGCTCAGTGGTGTCCAAATAATTGTTGACACAACAGCAAATATAGCAGATAGTGAACATGTCTGTCAAAGATTATTGTTGTTTCTGCGAGATGAACTTGCGAATTAAAGGTGCAATAAAAAATGCGAAGTTTGTATTTGACAAAGGAAGTCCAAAGGATGATAGCATATGGTCGGTGCACGGTCTACAACTTCCAGGGTTTTTGCAAACCGACTAGTGTATTCCAATTCCTGACCTAGTCGTTGGAGAGAAATGAAATTGAGCAGAGGCACTAGGTGGCACCAGCCTGACTATTGAACCACAGGCCAATGAAATAATATTTACACTTGAGCCTAGAATACATGAAATACCTAAGGTAC